TTTCTTAGCCCCACAGCGAGCTCCACCGAACATCCCAGTGGCCGCGGCCACATGCGCCTCGCCCACCCTTTACAGGACGCCCCATCACGCGCTTCGTGGCCCCATAGTGAGCTCCATCCGAAGCGGTACCCACAACGCGGTACTCACACTTGCATATGGGCGGGTCCTTCGACAGGATGATTTCATCATCCAGGGAGGAGAAGGAGAAGCGGGAGGGGGGCGGCGCGCGAGGGGGTGGTCAGCGCCTGACTTCTGCAGACATTTGACTACTTTGGGGCGTGGAGCTGCTGGGCGCAAGAGGCACACCACGGCCCCTTCGATGTCGAGCATAGGGCGTCCCCCGTGAGTTCTGCGTCTGCTCGTCCGCCAGGGGGGGGAGGACGGAACGGCAGTGGAGACGGCAGAGGTATCGCACCAGATACGGTGTGGCCATCGCTCCCAAGCTGCAACCGCGCACGGCAAGCTCCTTCATGCACTCACATGCCTCTACACCAGCAGGCCAATACGATGAAGATCGAACATTCAGCGCCTACGGTTGGGACATCTTGGATAGCGTGTCGCGGCGCTGGTTCTGGCCCGCCACACTTCGGCGCGACACGCTATCTTTTTCCCGGTTCTCAGGCGTCCTCGTCTCGAGTCGTTGGATGTCTCCCGCCCCGCGGAGCGGAGCGACACGCTATCCGCCTGCAGGGCATATCGTGTCGCCGGGGCCGCCGCGGCGACACGCTTCAGTGGCACCGTAACGGGTACTCACTAACGGGTATTTTGGTTACCGAAAGTTGCCCCTTTAGGCCCTCTTAGTGGCATTGCAGCGTTGCCCACATTGGAGAGGGTTGGGTTCGCTGGGTCACTGGCCAACATACCCGTCAGTGGAATCCCGTTAGAGGGGCGCTGAGCGCTACGCAGAAGTTTCTTACCGTACGTCGGAATGATGCCAGCAAGCAGTCCCGACGGAGATCAGACGTCCAGTGCCCAAGTAAGTGCTACAGGCTTCGCACGGCGAGTTCCCCGCAGCCCTTGCTGCGCGGAGGCGGAAGAGGAGGGAGAGAGGGACGGGAGGTGGGAGTTAGGGTTTAGGGTTTAGGGTTTAGGGTCTAACAGTGCAAGGCGAGGAATACCTACCTGCATAGGCACTCACCTGCGGTGGCTATCAATCCCCCCCGCATCTCCACCCCCACATAAAGATCATCTCTCCTCTCATGTTAGACCGTGGCTGTAGCAGAGCATAGCATAGCATAGCATAGCAAGCGCTTAGCAAAGAGGCGGCGGCCGCGCGCGTGTGCACTTTGTCGTATTTTTTGCAATGGAAAATGAGCATGGGCACAGTCGCCGTGCGGTCAAAAGTTGTCGGTGAAGCCCCGATTGACAAGAATGTTGCAAAACCCATTGGTTTTTCAATGATTCAGGATGCACGCGGAGGGCGATGCTGCCGAATTTGGGTATGAGAAAGTCATATGTTTTCATATGTGCTGCTGATATCGCTTGTGAAAACATTGAAAACACATTGTGTTTCAAAAGATTTCGCCATGATCGCGCGGCCGCCGCGCGCGTGTGCACTTTGTCGTATTTTTTGCAATGGAATATGAGCATGGGCACATGTTGAAAAACAAAATGTTGAGTTTATACTGGTTTTTACCATATAAAACTGTGGTTTACATACGGGCCCGCGAGCGGGGTTGGGCACTTGGTATTGTAAAAAATAAGGTTTTCTGATCGCATGATCAGGATGTAGTCGTTTTTTGCAATGGATGAGCCGGGTTCGCGAGCGGATCGGGCACTTTGTATTGTAAAAATATGGTTTTCTGATCGCATGATCAGGATATAATTTTTCTGCAATGGATGAGCCGGGTTCGCGAGCGGGGTCGGGCACTTTGTATTGTAAAAAATATGGTTCTCTGATCGCATGATCAGGAACTAGTTTTTTTGCATGAGAGAAAGGCCGACTTACATAGCGGCCGGTTTTGAAGGGTTTAGGGTTTAATAATTATAGAGATTAGAGATTTAGGTTTTAGGTTTTAGGGTTTAGGGTTTAGGGTTTAGAGTTTAGTGTCCAATAGCCCAAGCTTGAAGCCTGTTGGACGTGTCCCACCCACCCATGACCCAAGACATTTGATTTCAAAACGACGACGACGATACCGATGACGAAGACGACGATATTGATTTCAAAACGGCGATCAAAACGACGCCAGTCGCGCGTCCTCGCGCGGCCGCTGCCGCCGCCTGCTTGCCACGCGCGCGGTTCGGCGTCAGTGGCGCCGCGCCCTGGGAGCCGTAGTGGCTGCGCAACTCTCGCCCGCGCCGCTTGCTCACCCCGAAGTCCCTGACGAGGTCGCTCACTGTTGCGCCGCCCCGCGCCGCCTCCGCGATGCGCGCGTGTCGCGGGCCCCGAAGGTCACCCGGCGCGGGGCCTGCTCTCGCGCGGCCACGGATATGCGTGAGGGGTGCGCCCTGGGACTTGCAAAAGCTCCGAGAACACCATTCCCGGCACTCCGAAGGCAAGGATCTGCGTGAGGGGTGTGCCAAAGCAGGGGGCGGCATACGGGAGCACGGAGGGAGGCGCTTAAGGAGTTTTAGGATTCAAATCTCTATAGGCTCTTAGTTCTTAGCGTCCACTAGCCCAAACTTGAAGCCTGTTGGACGTGTCCCACCCACCCATGACCCAAGACATATTGGTCTCAAAACGACGACGACGTCACCGATAACGAAGGCGAAGCTGATCTCAAAACGACGACGACGACGACAGTCGCGCAAAGTCTTCTGTGAAGCCGTTGCAACGGCGATGCGGCACGCGCGCGCGACGACGCGATTTGAAAAACAAAGTACATTTACGCGAGTCCCTGTGCGTCGCAGGGACGCCGCCCAGTGGCGGTGAGATTGCATGGAGTGGCGGCGCGACGAGCGCGGGATAGCTCGTTGCTTCGAGGAGACGGATTCCCAGTTCGCATCCTTAGCATTCCGAAGGCAAGGATCTGCTAGAGGGGTGCGCCCTGCGATTGGCGAGAGCTCTCAGAACACCATTCCTGGCACTCCGGGGGCAAGGCAAGGATCTGCGTGAGAGGTGTGCCAAAATGGCGGGGGGGGGGCGCACAAAGGAAGCAGGCGAAAACATTTCAGGATGAACATATTTGTAGGCTCTAAGTTCTTAGGGTAGAGAGAGAGAGAGAGAAACAACAAAAAAAAGGGAGAGAGACGACCAGGTCATTGGTGGGGGGGCAGCCCAGGGCGTTTCTGTCAGCGCTGCGGCTCCACCGGTCGCAGCTGCAGCGACGGCTCTTGAGGAAGCGGCCCAGCCCATGTCCAGCTTAGCCACCACGAGCAAACGGCCGTCATGGGAGCGACCTGTCGGCTCTGCAAGCGAAGGACATGCCGGAGGGAGAGAGGGACGTGGGGGCCTGCGCGTCTGGAGGCCGCCGCTGTCGGGTCCGTGGGGCGCCCCCCTGTCTTTCTGCTGCAGTGTGTTCGGATCCCCGAAATAGGGGCTTCGTGCCTCTGCCCCCCCCCCCCCTCCCCGGGCCCGTCGGTGCGCGGGGGCGGGCCTCCCCGTCGGCGCATCGGAGTCGGAAGAAGAGGGCGGGGGGACAAACTGGTTGCGGCCCCGCTGCTGGGCACCCGCCTCGTGGCCTGACCTCCAAGAGCCAGAGAACGCCCAATCGCCCGTGCTGCGCACGGCCAGCTGCCCGCCGACGCCACCGCTGTCACGAGCCGGGCGCATGGCGCAGGGCGCAGGGCAGGGCAGGGCAGGGCAGGGCGAGAGGAGAGTGATGGAGGACGAGGATGAAAGAAAAGTACCAGGACGACGACGTGGGGGATGAGGGAGAGGGGGAGGAGGAGGAGGAGGAGGAGGAGAAGGAGGAGGAGGAGGAGGAGGAGGAGGAGGAGGAGGAGGAGGCGGAGGAGGAGGGAGGAGGAGGAGGAGGAGGAGAGGAGGAGGAGGAGGAGGAGGAGGAGGGGAGGAGGAGGAGGAGGAGGGGGAGGGGGAGGGGGAGGGGAGGGGGACAAGCTATGTGCGCTCGCGTCATATCTGACATCCTACCCCTCCCTCCCATCCCTTACCATGGCGTAGATCCCCTCTCTACTCGCACAGTCGGATGTCGAGCAGGGCAATGATCCCGAAAGGGTACGCGATGCATTGTAGAGCACGGCATGGCATGGCGTAGAAGAGCACCGCAAAGCGTAGTATCAACCTAGCATTGCATTGCATGCCGTGGCATGGCACGGGAAATGACGCCAGCGCTGCAGCGGGAGCACGAGTCGAAACAAGCGGAAGCGCGGAAATGAGGCCAGCGATGCAGCGGGAGCACGATTCGGAACGAGCGGAAGCACGGAAATGAGGCCAGCGCTGCAGCGGGAGCACGATTCGGAACGAGGGGGGCCTGAAAATGAGGCCGGCGCCTCGGCGAGAGTAGCATTTTGAAAACAAATGCAGGCGAAAACCCAACTCCGGGGCAACCTGTGTGTAAAGAACAGTAGGCGGGGGGGGTCGAGCACTTTCAAACCGTCATCAGGGGAAGAGGGAGAGTAGTATTCATATTGAGTAATCGTGGAGGAGGGGGAGGAGGAGGAGGAGGAGGAGGAGGAGGAGGAGGAGGAGGAGGAGGAGTAGGAGGAGCAGGAGGAGAAGGAGGAGGAGGTGGAGGAGGAGGAGGAGGAGGAAGAGGAGGAGGAGGAGGAGGAGGAGGGAAGAGGAGGAGGAGAGGAGGAGGAGGAGGAGGAGGAGGGAGAGGAGGGGGAGTGGGAGGAGGAGGAGGAGGTGGAGGAGGAGGAGGAGGGAGGAGGGAGGGAGGAGGAGGAGGAGGAGGAGGAGGAGGGAGGGCGAGGGGGAGGAGGAGGGAGGAGGAGGGAGGAGGAGGAGGAGGAGGAGGAGGAGGAGGAGGTGGAGGAGGAGGAGGAGGAGGAGGAGGAGGAGGAGGTGGTGGAGGAGGAGGGGGAGGAGGAGAAGGAGCAGGGAGGGAGGGGGACGAGGAGGAGGGGGTAGGTGGAGGGCACTCTCCTCCTGATAGGCTGAGCTGTCGTGGTTGTTGGGCGACCTCCTAGCAGCGTTCCCCAAGCCGGAGGTGCCGGCGGGCCACGAGCTGCGCATCTTCTTCGGGGAGGCGGAGTTGTGCGGCGCCGCGACTTTGGGCGAGATCGAAGTACGAAGCGGCAGCGAGCTGACCCTCGTGGTGAACAAGAGGCGCCGCATGGTGACGTGCTACAAGTCCGTGGCGAGGATCTGGGACGCAGACTTGGGGGAGTGCCTGCGCACGCTGGAAGGCCACCAGGGCTACGTGACGTCCGCCGTGTTCTCGGTGGACGGGCAGCAGGTGCTCACGGCCTCGGACGATTCGACGGCGAAGATCTGGGCCGCCGACTCTGGGGAGTGCCTGCGCACGCTGGTCGGCCACCAGGGCCGCGTGACTTCAGCCGTGTTCTCGGGGGACGGGCAGCAGGTGCTCACGGCCTCGTTCGACAGGACGGCGAAAATTTGGGCCGCCGACTCTGGGGAGTGCCTGCGCACGCTGGTAGGCCACCCAGGCTGCGTGACGTCCGCCGTGTTCTCTGCGGACGGGCAGCGGGCGCTGACGGCCTCACGGGACAAGACGGCGAAGGTTTGGGCCGCCGGCTCTGGAGAGTGCTTGCGCACACTGGAAGACCACAGGAACTGGGTGACGTCCGCTGCCTTCTCGGCAGACGGGCAGCTGGCGCTGACAACCTCGCTGGACCGGATGGCGAAGGTCTGGGACACCGACTCTGGAGAGTGTTTGCGCACACTGGACGGCCACCAGGACTGCGTGCTATCCGCCGAGTTCTCGGCGGACGGGCAGAACGCGGTGACGGCCTCGGACGACAGGACGGCGAAGGTCTGGGCCGCCGACTCCTGGGAGTGCCTGCGCACACTGGAAAGCGGAGGCCGCGTGACGTCCGCCGTGTTCTCGGGGGACGGGCAGCAGGTGCTCACGGTCTCGGGGGACCAGACAGCGAAGTTCTGGGCCGCCGATTCTGGGGAGTGCCTGGGCACGCTGAGGCGCGCCGGGAACAAGGCCTCCTTCGCGCCGTAATCGCCCCGCGGCTGTCGTCACCGAGTCATCGAGAGCAAAAGAACCCCTGACCCTAATGAAGACGTGGCCTCACTGAGGTCCCCGTCTTCGCATTAGGGGTCATAACTCTGGGCGGTTTGGTTCGGCACATCTGCAGAAAAGACCCTCTTTCTTGTGGAAGTCGATTCATGGAGAGGAAGATGCTGCCAAAAAATGTCCAGATGTCTAAAACATGTTTCAATCATGTCTTACACCTGTAAAAAAGAAAGCATGCTTGAAACATGCTTAGGAGATGCTCGACCCAGTTTAACCACATGATTGATTCAATGACAGGATTGCTAGAAGGTCCATTGTCATGGCATCCACGACTCTACGGTAGGTTTGCGTCGTGTCGACCAGCGGCGACCCCAGCGCGGGCGTTCAAGGTTGAACGCCGCCGGCGACCCAGAATCGATCGATGTTGAACGATCGGACGTTGCGGCAGCGGCCGATCGTTCAAGGTTGAACGATCCCCGCGGTGTCAGAAACCAACGCCGGGGTCGACACGACGCGAACCTGCCGTATCCCTAACGTTTGGGCCCTCCTGGCTTGGCTCCCCTCCCAGAGGGTCCGGGGTCCTGCCTTGGTGAGCCATCGAGCGGCCGCGCCGGCGGACCCGCCGCGCCCCTCCGCCCTTCCCCGTCCGCCGCTCTTCCCCGCAGACGCCTCCTCCTCCTCCTCCCGCCTGGCTGCAGGGCGGCGGCGTTCCAGAGGGGGCGGGCAACAGTCCCAGACATGATCGCGTCGTAAAAAAATCAGGACGGGAGGTTTTGGCATATTTTTGACCTCTGGGGGCCCTTACCGGCCCTCGGGACCGTCAAAAAACGACTCAGGACGAAAAACCGGTCCTGGGGAATGGGTCGAGACCTCGGGGGGTCGACGTCATGAAAAAATCATGACGTCGGGGGTCTGGGGTTATACCCACATCCAGTGCGTCTTGGAGCTTTGGGCTCTCTTCCCCGGAGGCCGGAGGCGCGCCGGATATGGATAAAGATCTTGCCCCAGAAGGTTCGATGATTACCCGTTTCCAGTGTGCCTCGGCCTTGCGGCACCCCTTCCCAACAAGTCCAGGACGCTCTGGACATGGATATAAGTATTGGCCGCAGAGAGGGCTCCGCCGGCGCCGCGCCCTGGCCCTCGGCGGAGGCCGGCGGCGGCAGTCAAGCGGCGCCCGGCGGCGGCGCCGCGCGCGCGGGGCGTGCCCGGGAGGGCCCATGGCGTCGGCGCGCCTCGGCCCCTCGGCGGAGGCCGCACGGCGGCGAGGCGGCAGGCCACCCGCACGGGGCGCTCCCAGAGAGGGCGGCCCCGCCGTCGGCGCCCCTCGGCCTGCGGCGGAGGCCGGCACGGGGGCGGCGGCCCGCGGAAAGGGGCGGGCCGAGGGGGAGGGGCGGCTGCAGCAGGCGCGCGGCCCCTCGGCATGGCTCCGGGCCCACGGAGCCCGGGCCACGTGCCTCTGCGGCGCCACCATGGCTGTCGCGCCCGGTCGTCGCCCCCCCCGCCCCCTGGCCTCGTCGTCCTGGTCGGTCGGAGTCGGGGCCCCGGCCCGGGCCACGTGCGCCTGCGGCGCCACCGTGGTTGTCGCACCCTCCGTCGCTCGCGGTCGTCGCCCCCCCCCCGTCGCGCCGTCCTTCGCTCGCGGGCGTGGTCCTCCCCCGCCTCCTGCCTCGTCGTCCTGGTCGGGGGGTCGGGGCCCCGAGGCCCTCCGCAAGCAAGCGGTCCAGAGCTGCTCGCCAGGGTCGTCGTTTTCGCCGCCGACGCTGCCGCCGTCGTCGTCGTTGTCGTCGTCGTCGTCGGGCGGGGCCGGGCCGGGCCGGGCTCAGGCTCTGCGCTCCAGGTCGGGCTCAGAAGCCACGCCGCCCTCTGAGGAGGTCATGCCCTCCTCTCGCCTCCCCCCTCGCTCGGCGCGCCGCCGGAGGAGCGGCTCCTGCGCCTCATGGCTTTTCCCCCCCTCGTCCGTCCAGCCATCCCTGCCCCCCCCGCCTCGTGCGCTTTTGGCCTCCAGGCCCGCGGGAAGCGGGCGAGCGGTCGAGCACACCCCCCTTCGGGCCCGTGTGGGAGCCGGGACCCGTGCGCTTTCCAGAGCTGCCCCGAAGTTCTCTCCTCCTGCTCCTCCTCCTGCTGCTGCTCCTCCTCGTGCTCCTCGTCCTCCTGCTCCTCCTCCTATTCCTCCTGCTCCTCCTCCTCCTCCTCCTCCTGCTCCTCCTCCTCCTGCTCCTCCTGCTCCTCCTTCTCCTCCTCTTCCTCCTCCTCCGCCCCTGCCTCCTCCAGTCATTTTCCCTATGAGTAATCCCCCCCGTCGCACCCCGAGGCGTGTCGGTAAGGCGGGCCAGGCGTTTCGCATGATAATGAAGCTGAGAATGTCCAAGAGTTTCATGGATGCAGGGCGGCCGTTTTCAAACCGTGGTTCTCGCCTTAGTGCCGCGCACATTATATATACATCTATATATAATCAGGAGAGTTGCGGATGGAGAGCTGGTGGTTTTCAACATGTGGTTCTCCCCCCCCCGCGCCGCGCACATTTCGACATGTTCTTAGAACATTTCTGAAGGAGTCTGTTTTGTTTTACCACATCGGGTTTACTTTCTAAGAGCATTGTTTATTGATCTTGGAACATTTCTGGGTCCTAAGAACATTTCGCGGTAGGACTACAGGAATGACGGGACGGTCGGCCCCAGCTCAAATTACAGCTCGGCCGGTGCCGTCTGGTGCCACAGACAAGGGACAGAGCATTCCAGCGGCAGGCGCCAAGGAAGGGAGCGGGGGAAGAGGATCGCGGGGCGCCCAATTCACAGTCGGATCTTGTCCCATTCGCGAGGCCAGGTCCTGGGCTTGGGAGAGGTTGACTTTTTTTTCTGGGGGAACGGGCGACTCGAGTTCGCCCGAACTCCAGTTTGTTGACTGTGTTTGACGGGCTTGTCCAGAATTTTGACGGCCAAGTTTTCGTGGGATAATTGTAGCGGGAGCTCGCGTTAAATTTCATTTTGGGCCCTGAGTTGCCTTGATGGCCCCGTCAGGCCAAGCCGAGTCCCCTGAACCCGCGTCTTACGTCTCTCTTCGATGTTTCGTCGGCGGGAGAGGATCAACAGGCCGCAGGAATGCGAGTCAGAAACGGGTCGGATATAGAAACGCCCCCACGGAGAGGCCTGAATCAGGCAGCCTGGGGCTGTGGATCAGTCCCGGCCCACCTCTCGGAGCACTCCCGGAGGGCTCTGGCACGACGGCGGCCCCCGCGCGGTAGGCTCGCGCCGTCGCGGTGGCGGCGGGGCGGGGCGCTCGAGGCTGACGGCCCGCGGCAGCTCCTCGGGGGGCACCGCTCGACCCCCCACAGCGCGGGTCGCCTTTGAGGCTGGATAGGCCACGCGGAGGCACAGAGACCAGAACCCACGTCGTCAGAGATGAGCTTGCTGGGCATCCTCCAGGCTCGTCGGTCATCGGAGGCCCCCCGAGGTGGTCGTGTCGGGTGAGCTCGTCTCCCCGCGTTCGCTTAGCAGGGGGTCGGCGAATGAGAAGCGGTGCAGGGTCTGACAGGGTGGAGCTCTCCACCGTGTGGAAGGCGCGCGTCGCAACCGAAGTGGCTGGTATTGGATTAGTCCTTCTGTGTCGACTTGTGGGGGTGCACTGATTGCGCAGTACAGGTTCCAGCCGCCCTGGGCTAGGCATGGCAGGCCACGCGAGCGGCCCACCATGGACGATGGTGGTGATGAGGTGGTGGAGGAAGTAAAAGAGGAAGACAACCTGGAGGAGGAGCCCCACCTGTCCATCCTCCTCACTCCGTCCTCGGCCTCATTTTCATCCTCATCATCCTCGCTCAGCAGCACCATCGTCGTTATCATCCTCATCAGCAGCATCATCAGCACCTTCTTCCTCTTCTTCATCAACATCAACATCATCATCATCATCATCATCATCATCATCATCATCATCATCATCATCATCATCATCAACATCTACATCAACATCACTATCACAACCAACATCACCATCCCCATGCACATAACCACCTTCATAATCGTCGTCATCTGAATCATCATCCGTAGCCATTTGGGCTTAAGTAGTTTTGGCTCTCAAACCGAAGGGCTGACTCGAGGCGCCGGCCTTCCAGGTCTTCACCCACGTTCCCTGCTGGACGCATGTCCAGGCCACAGCAGGCTTTGAGGCTTCTCGCCCGCCACCAGCTATTCCCAGATACATCCAGGATGGCTGCCACGCTGGAAAGCAGGCGTTTTTGAAGGAGCAGGTCTTTGCCTCGAAGAAACAAAGCTGCCAACACTGCCCAGGCAATGGCGACGTTGACTGCTTCTGTCCATGCGACTCAGGAGGTGACTAGCAAACTCGAGTTGAAGATGGCCGACGCGAAGAACGAGACGGACCAGAGGTTCGAGGCGCTCGGGGCTCAACTTCTCCTCCTTCAGTCTCGCAATGTCCTTACCGAAGACGTCTACGGTGGCATGGCGGACGGTAATTCCAGCGGCATGGTGGATGGTACTTCCATCGGTCTGGTTGCCGATGGTATCAACTTCATTGGGGAAAAGCTCACCGAGGAGGCGTCGGCGCAGGCATCTGCATCAGCTGCAGCATCTACTGCGGTTTCTCCCCGTTCCGTGGTCTTGCCGCAAACGTGCCCGACGCAACGGAGGTCACGTAATCAACACTCCTGATCGTACCACGATCTGGATTCGAGGCTTCCCGCGCAAGCAGGTCAACATAGAGTTCGACCAACATGTCTACGACATCGCCCATCGCCGCCGCCATTCCCGTGTCCTACCGCGGCACCTGTGAGGCTAGGAGTCGCAACATCCAGGCCTCAAAAGTGATCGAGTCCGCCAACGAGCAGGGCGCCAACAACTTCTATGACCAATTCCGTGCGCAGCCGCCTCAATGGCGCGATTTGCGCACCAATTCTCTTGACAAGTTTTGGGTTGGACGCGACCTGCCGGTCGATGGTCGCAAGCGGAGTTGCGCCATCAGCAAGTGCTCTACCATTTGCAATGTTGCGCTCGTCAGCCAGCAGGCGTGGAAGCCAGAGACGAAGATCGCTTGCAATCCGTACCAGGTCATTTGCTAGATCAGCGTCCAGAACGAGTTGCTCGGCACCGTGCATCGACAAACTGTTGCACCACTTTTGCTGTGCATTGGCACCTGTGCTGAACTGCTTTTGCTCCCCCCATTCCTGCCGATCTTAATATTTGGCGCATGGCGAAGAGCCCCTGTTCCGCCCGGGGGCCCCCGACAAAATGTTGCACCGCCGCGCTGGTTCGACCAGCCCGGACCGAACCCAATATTAAGATGGGGGCGGAGGGGGGAAAACAAACGATTGATATAACGGCGTTGCGATGTATTGTCAGCGCCAGGTGGTGCAACCTTTCGTCGATGTACTGCATGATCAAGTGCGTAGGCTTTCTCTCGGGCACGTTCACCTCCGAGGCGCGTTTCGACGCGCTCCAGGAGTCAGGCATCCCGCCGGAGCCTGCTGAGACTCTGCCAGGCCTGGCCCAGGCGCTGCTCCAGCAATCGTCGCGATGTTTCGCTGCAGGATTCCCGCGCGTCTTCGGGCCCATTTTTTTTTTACCGGGGCATGCTCGCCGGGTGAAGATGTGAGCGTCTTCGTTCGTGACTACAGTGAACAGGCTTGCCTCCCTCCTCTGAAGCGCAGGGCCTCAGGGGGCTGCGTGTCTGTCGATCGCGTCGGAGGCTTTCGTGTTCCCCTCTTCCCCCATCCATCTTCCCGCTTCCGTCGCCTCACCTGCTTACTGCGTCGGAGTGCCAGAGGCCGTTTTTTGAATCGCGAGCGCGTAATCTAGCTTCTCGGATCCCAGGGGCGTAGTCCGGGGCTGTGGCTGGCGCCACTTCTGGGACAAGTCGCATTCAGCAGAAGGTTCGCGGACGTCATCGAAACGGCGACGCCGTCTTCTTGCAGCGGACTCACGGCGCCAGTGCACATGCATTGAGTCTCGAGCGCGACCTCCCCGACTTTCAGCATTTCAGATCCTGCCTTACCACCCGCGCTGGCGGCGCGGTCATCTCCATTCGCGCTTATTCGCCCAATTTGTTCTGCGCCCAGCCGCGCCGTCTCGCCGTCGACCGAGGTCGAATCGTAGCGCTCATCATCCATGGCGAAGTGGGGGGGCGCGCAATTTGTCAACGTTCAAATTGAGCTTCAGCGTCACCAAAATTAGAAGGCGGGGCTTCCACAATAATATCCTTCGGCACACCTCGGGTCTGAACTCGGCATTTGTCTTCCTCGGGGGCGATTGGAACATCTCGGTGTCTGGCGAGCAGGTTTTCCATTGTCTCGACGGAAGTTGCCCCGAGGCTGCCGGCAGCTGTCAGGCTTGCTAAAGTTGATCAGCGTGCTTAAATTCATCGTGCGAAACCCGCGGAGTTGTTCTTAGCGTCGGGCGTCCACGTAGATGGCGCGCCAACTTTGCCAGTGCTGTAGTTTTGAACGATCTCCGGAGCTTTGCGATGGGTTTGGTTATCGGTCGCCTCGAACCGTCCGAACATGCCCTTGTCGCCCCCGGTTCTCCCACAATTAAAAATCGCGCGCGCGGCCAATGTGGGCGGTCCTGCGCGGCGAGACCTAGGACTCGTTGACTGACGCCGCTCAGGAGGCCAGGATTTCCGGCGCCCCTAGGGGCTCGTTCTCAAAATCAAAGAATGCACGCACGTTGCCGAAACCGTTTTCTCGGCCAGCTCTCTCGGCGCGGCCTCATAACTGACCGCCAGGAGGTGGCGATCTGACTGAAGATTGTGGGTGGCGCCACGCAGCCCACTCTTTGGCTCGCGCGCAGGTGCCTTCGCTCGCTGCCGCTGCTGAGTCAGTATTTCGACGTCTCAGGCATGCGCTTCTTTGACTTTGCGGGGCTCCACAGGTGCCCCCACGGCCTGTACAGCGACATTCCCTAAGCTGAGATAAGCAAGTTGTGCGCCGAGAGTCCCAAGTGCCTCCCGCGAGGATTCCGCCCCTGATAGTCGTCGCGGTCTTTCAGGTTCAAATGCCATGGGGCGTTGGGTCACCCTCGCTCACGCCTCTGACCCCGACGGGTCTATGCCGCGCTCGGCAGCCCATGGCGCTCGCAGTCTTGCGCCGCAGTTGGGAATGCCGCACCGCGGGGCTCCGCGGGCCGAATCGCGATCAAGGAAGAGACCGGCTTCTTCCATGAGGTTCAACAGGTTTCCCCTTGGGGTCGAGCGGCGGCTTCTCAAGCGCCGGTTATTCGGTTCACTTCGAGCCCAGCGCGTCTCTGCCCCAGGCCCCGACGGACTTGGATATGCTGCGCGGAGGGCCGGCGGCGAGCTCTGCCGCGACTGTCTGTTCCATCTCCGCCCCCTTCTGCTCGACTGCAACGATGCGGCGGGCGGTCTCAACCGCGCTCTCGCGGCGTTCGTTTCCCCCGACGGATGGGAGCGGAGTCGGGGGCGCTGCTGTTTGGATCACACGTTCTGCTGGTGCCATCCGCTCGACGTCCTTTCCCAGCTGCGACGGCGAGAGCATTGCCGCTGCAGTTGCCCATCTTTCTCCGCTCGCGTTCAATCTCGGCCGCTGAGAAGGTCGCCCTCAAGAAACGCAACGCGAAAAATCGCATTCTCGAGCAGAAAGCCGCGTTGCTCGATTTTTTTCTGTTTGTGTGTTTCAGCGTACCCGTCTGTCTTTGATGTCGCTTGTGCCTCTGCGTCGTTAAACCGCGACTGTAAGGGGTGCTGCCTTCTGCGTTTAGGAGCGCCTCGCCCCCCCTCCATGCCATCAGCGAGCCAAGCAGTAACTTCGTAGAGGTCGCTCTCCGAGTCTCCGAGGGCAGTCTTGAAGCGGCTTTACAATCCGCCGAGGGGTTGAACCAGGGCGCCCGCTGAGCGGGGTGACTTTCGCGCTTTGCTTCGACCCCGTTGTTCGCCATCTCTGGAAAGGTCTGCGACCGCGTCCTGCTGGACCTGTTGCTGTCGCCGGCCACGTTGGAATCGTCGCTATGGGTTTGGCGGTCTCTATTCCGATCGTGGCGCGGCCGATGACCGATGACGCGAACGCGTTGGGCCTGTGGCTTAAACCGAAGCGAAGTGGCGCGTCATCGCTTCCCCGGCTGGCCCCCATCGGGCGCGCGTCGCTGCGTCCATCGAGGAGGTCGGTTTCGACGCCTTCCCGTCCGAGCGCGTTCGAATGCAAGGTGTTCGGGCGCGTTTGGGGCCGGGCGACCCCTGGGCAAGCGGGGGTTGGCCTTTCTGGGAATTCCAAAGACATGCTGAGCAGCGTTCGCGGGTGATCCTTGGGGTTTGCTATCCTTGGGGTCTGCTCAGAATGTTTATGCATGCGATGCTGTTTCGCTTTCGTTTCTCAGTTTACCAGGCCAGTTACTTCCTGTTCTGCGCGCGGCGACTCGTGCCGGGCACGATGCCCGCCCAGGAATGATAGCGGGGCTTCGTTGGGCGATCCCCGTTGGAGTCTTGGCCAACAGCGACCGCATCTACCTGCCCGTCAATGCGAGGTCGGTCGAGGCGGGAAGCCAGGCTGCGATGCGTCGCGTTTTCAACCGCTCTGAATCTACCCCTGGCATATATGCTTGCTGGCGCGATCTCCGAGATATACAAGTTAATCGTTTAGTGGTGTCCCGACTTGCCGGGTGGGTTCTGGAGTCGACTTGCCGGGTGGGTTCTGGAGTCTATCAATAGTTCCCTCTGTCGGTGGGTCGAGAATTTCCTAACCGCCCCCAAGACCTCTTCCGACCCAGACGCCATCCAGCTGCAGAAGGAACCCTCGAAGGCGTTGCACCAGATAACGAGCCCAAGTACTTTTGTAGCTGTACCGTTTCTCTCTCTCTCTCTCTCTCTCTCGACTTCGCAAGTGTTGGCCGCTAGTCCAAGAACCGCAGTCCGACCACTTACGCGTTGCTGTCTCAATCGGTTATTTCGTGTGTTTGGCCGATCTGCGTTCCATGTGCAATGGTCGGTGCACCTCTGCCCGATATAGTTAAAGTCGGGAGGTGTGTCGATTCGGGTGCGAGCCGATGGGAGGTGATGATGTCTTTCACTGCCTGTCATCTCCTGCTTTCTTTGCTCGTTTGCCTCCCAGTCTCTCCACTCATCCCAGAGGTTCTGCCGAGTGGTCGCCCGAGGAGAGATTGATCATGTGATCGCCCCTCCCCTGAGCGACGCCGGGCTCAAGCCTTTACTTCTCGTGCATGGCATCGCTGGCGCCACCTTCATTTTCTTGCGCGCCCACAGGAAATGGGGAAATGGGAAGTTCCCAGGTCTCCTCGCGGCTGGGGCTCGTGCCATCGCTAAGAAGAGGAAGAGCGCCCGTGCTCTCTTTGCAAGTCATGGCCTCTGAGTGGCGAGTGGATCGTCACATTCATCATCATATACATAATCATCATCGTTCGTTGTGGCTACGTACCCTCATCCCCGTCATCCTCATGATCGTCCTCATCTTTACCTTCCACTTCCCTTCCTCGCCATTATCCTCGTTCCTTTCCTCCCTTCCAGCGGTGCGCGGGGGGTCTCTCTGCTACCTTCAGATGTCCACCCAGGGTTTGCTCGCGTAGAGCTGTCGACTCTTAGCACCTCCGAGGGGCTTCGCCTTTCCTTGCCTCCTCATTTCTTCTTCCCTCCATCCCTATCGCCCCTCCCAGTTCCCAATTATTTCCTCCCCTCCCTCCCTCCCCTTTTGCCCCTCTTCTGTACCCGCTCCTTTCTCCCCTTAGCCCTCACCTTGGCTGTTGGAGTGTGGAACACCAGCGGGAATACATGCTTGCATGTATGCGCACCTGGTTATAGTGGTTATACTCGCGCATCTCATGGTTTGACCCGGGCGCTAACCCGATTCGTGCCTTCAGCATCAAAGCGTTGGCTTGTCCACGAGTCCCGTTTTTTCGGGCACAATTCCTTTTCCCAATTGTAGGCAAGGCTTTTAAATCAGGTGGAACCTTGTCCAGAATCGATCGAGATTCTGGCCTCCGTAAGCCGCCAGAGGGCCACAAACGCTGCGAAATACAAATCATCGACCTTCGATCATCGAATTTGGATCCTCGAGGTCCGATCCCCCGTCCGCCATTTTCTTCCCTTCGCCGCCCGCTGGGTGACAGGTAGCGAAAGAGGACGAGGAAGCAGAGGAGGAGGAGGACCTTAAGAACAGAAGGGGATAATGAGCAGGACGAGGAGGACTTTGGGGAGAAGGAAGAATTGGGGCAGGAGGAGGACGAGGATAAGGAAGAATGGTGCAGGGGGAGGCTACATCCAGAGTATCTTGCAGCCACCAAGAACCAGGAACCAGGAAAAGGAAGAAGAGGAAGAGGACGGGCAACACGACGGGAAGGAGGATCACTAGGGAGAGAGGGAGAGAGAGAGAGAGAGAGAAAAAGAAATAACAAAAAAACAAAGAGAGAGAGAGAGAGGCAGGAAGAGAGAGAGAGAGAGAGAGAACAAAAAACAACGAAAGAGAGATGAAGAGAGAGAGAGAGAAAGAGAGAGGGCAAGAGAGACAGAGAGAGGGAGGGGGGAGGGAGAGAGGGATAGAGAGAGAGAGAGAGGGCGAGAGAGGGAGAGAGACAGGGGGGGGGAGGGGCGAGAGGGGGAGGGGGGGCAGGGAGGCACAGGGGGAGGAGGCGGTGCCACCCTCCGCCCCCGCCGTCCGCCCTTTGCGCGCGTGGGCAGGCAGCGGCGCCCTGTCCATGGCGGAGGTCGAGCTGGCCCTGCGGGCCGCTCCCTCGGCCCTGCGCGCGCGCGCTCGCGGGCGGCGCGGCGGCGCCGCGCGGCGCCGCGCGGTGCCGCCCGTGGCCTCTCTCGCCGACGGCCTCGTCCCGCGGGCCCCTCGCCGCCGCCCTCGCCGCCTCTCTCGTGGCCCCCGTCCCCGCCCTCGCCGTCCTCCTCGTCCTCGCCCTCTTGGCGGGCGTGTCCCCCTACTTACAGGGGGATCTGCGACGAAAGAGAACAGGAAGTACCCCAAACATGCCCCCAAAAGGTCAAAACATAGTCGAAAAAATAATCCCCTGGCTATTTTTGGACAATTTTTTTGTTATTTTGTGGGTATTCTTTATTTTTCGTCGAATATCCGTCTGTAGGGGGACAGGCCCGACTTAAGCCTCGCCCTCGTTGTCCCCCGTCCCCGCCCTCGTCGCCCTCGCCTCTTTTCACCTCCCCGCCGCCCTCGCGGCGCACATGTAGGCGGCCTCCTCCTCCCCCTCGCCCTCGGCGTGCCGTTGCCACCGAGCCAGGCCATGCCGCACCCCAACCCGAAGCCGCCGTTGGGCCTGCCGGTTTCCGGTGGGGGAGCGCTCCGGGACATCGAGACACCACCCGTGGAACCCGTACACACCCCAACCCGAAGTTTTCGGGGGTTGTGAAAGGGGCTCTCTGGGCCTCGTGAGGGGTCCTCTGGAGGCCGTGGAGGCCTCCTGGGAAATCCTGGTGGCACTTCGGTGGCATATCATTATAGCCTTTTACACCCTCTTAATTCCGTCTTTAGCGTCGGTTAGCGTCGATTAGCGTCTGGGAGTCGATAAGATAGCGCCGACTTAGCCTCGGTTAGCGTCGATTAGCGTCGATTTAGCGTCGATTAGCGTCGACTAGGGTCGATCAGCGTCGATTCGCAGGAGCCAGCCACATGGTATGGGAGGCTCCCGTGCGTTGCCACTGCACCTTTGGCCTAGGGGGGCACTTCTGGGGGGGCCTGCCGACAGTTGCACAGATCGCAGCCCCCCAGTGGTGGCGAGGTCTGATTCGAATCCGCGTAGGACGCCACTGTGCTGGACCCCCCAGCAGCCCTCGAACGTGGCGACGGTTTCGCAGATTGCAGCCCCCCAGGGATGGCGAGGTCTAATTCGAGTCCGCGTAGGACGTCACTGTGCTGGAGACCCCCCGGCAGCCCTCGAACGTGGCGACAGTTTCGCAGATCGCAGCCCCCCAGGGATGGCGAGCTCTAATTCGAGTCCGCGTGGGACGTCACTGCGCTGGAGACCCCCCGGCAGCCCTCGAACGTGGCGACATTTCCACGCATCGCAGCTCCCCAGGGATGGCGAGCTCTACAGTCGGGGCCCTGAAGAAGGAACCCTTTTCGTTGGGGAGGGGCTCGGTGTTCCTTGACCGTTCTGCGGTTTGCCTCCTGTTTTCCTGGGGTCTTCCATGGGAGATCGAAGTTCAACTTCTTGGAGAAAGGGGCCCCGTTCCTTACTTAGGGTTCCTTAGGTCATCGCCCCGACTGTAATTTTGATCCGCGTGGGACGTCACCGTGCCGGCGCCTCTTGGCCGCTTTGGGGGGCGGGGCGCCTCCGCCGGCGCTGGCCGCCGCGGCGCGGGGCGCGGGCCGCCCCCTCCCCCCGCGCGGGGATGGGGCGGGCGCGGGCCCCCAACGCCACGGTCTGTAGGAGGAGGGGGAGGAGGAGGAGGAGGAGGAGGGGGAGGAGGAGGAGGAGGAGGAGGAGGAGGAGGAGGAGGAGGAGGGGGAGGAGGATGAGGAGGAGGAGGAGGTGGCGTCCGCCCCCCCCCCCCCCAACGCCAATGTCGCCCCTCTTCCACGGAAAACGAGCGTGCAACCGTGCCTCTCGACTTGCGTGCCTGCCGCACGTCGAGTCGCTGGCGGCCTGCTTCAGGTTTTCAGGCCCGCCCCCGCCGTCCATGCAAGCAAGCTTGCCAGAGTCTACGAAACCAGGCTCCCCCAGCAAGTCTCGTCCCATTCTCCAGGACCAGTCTTTCACACTGGGTCGTGCTTCGACGCTCTCGGGCGGGTGGGAAATGCGGGGTGGCTTGAGCGGGTGATGATGAAGGAAAGGGCAGTGAAGAAAGGGCCCCTTGGGGCCCCTCTGGAGGCAGCAGGGGGCCCAAAAGGACGCCCGACGGCATGATGATCTTGTCACGACGTCGACCCCTACAGTTCCAGGCCTCCTAGATTTAAGTCGGGCCTGCCCCTCTACAGGTGGAATATTCAAAAATAGTAAAAAAATGGTATGCGGACTATGTTCCTATTTTTAAACTATATTTGAGCATTTTTGGAAGATGTTCGGGGTATTGTTTATTTGTCGTCCAAAATCCCCCTCTAGGGGGACACGCCCGACTTCATCCTAGATGGGGTCTCAGTAGCTGGGTTCGGAGGATCGCTCCGCATCGCCAATGCGTCGCCGATGCGGCTCGATGTCCAGCCCGCTCTGCTTCGTGTCAACGTAGCCGATGCATCGCCGACGTCGACGATGCATCGCCAGTGCATCGCCGATGCATCGCCGATGTATCGCCGATGCGGCGCGATCCTCCGACCCCATCAACTCCGACCCCATCTAGGAGGCCTCTAACAGTTCAGAGGGGAAAAAGATGCCCATACAGCTACCCTTCTTTCGTGTTCCTTCTTTTTAGGGCCTCCCGGGAGACCCTCGACGCAACCGCTGGATTCGCTTCGAAATCTTGGTCAGAACGCACCGCGGGAGAGGTCCGGGGAATAGCTCTATCGGTACTTTTTGGTTTCCCCCAAACTCTCTGGGCCAATTCCTCCGAGACCTTTTTTTCATCCCGAGTTGTTTTCCGACGCTTCCGAGGCTGAAGTTGGTCGTGGTGATTTTGTCGCGAGTTCCTTGGGATCCGATGTCGCGTAAAAAAAATGACACCCGAAATGGGTACGAGGAAAATGGGTACGATGCCCAACAACAAAAATGCTGTTCAAAATTCTTCACGCTTCGCGTATCCCCACCAGCCCATCTCAAAACAGCAACTCTTGCGAAGCATGCCGGCAGTCGTGTTTTTCAGGCGTGTTTCCGCCTGCCCCCGCATATCTCCAGGCCTCTCGTCCTGGTGTGAGTCGTTCGGGCCCTTCTTCCTGGTGTGAGTCGTTCGGGCTCTTCGTCGTGGTTTGAGTCGTTCGGGCTCTTCGTCCTGGTGTGAGTCGTTCGGGCTCCTCGTGGTGTGAGTCGTTCGGGGCCTCGTCCTGGTGTGAGTCGTTCGGGCCCCTCCTTGTGGTGTGAGTCGTTGGGGCTCTTCGTGGTGTGAGTCGTTCGGGCCCCTCGTCCTGGTGTGAGTCGTTCGGGATCCTCCTCCTGGTGTGAGTCGTTCGGGCTCTTCGTGGTGTGAGTCGTTCGGGCCCCTCGTCCTGGTGTGAGTCGTTCGGGCTCCTCGTGGGGCCTCTTGGGGGCCTCTTGGAGCCTCGTGGGGCCTCTTGGGGGCCTCTTTTGGCCTCTTGGGGGCCTCTTGGGAGCCTCTTGGGGCCTCGTGGGGCCTCTTGGGGGCCTCTTGGGGGCCTCTTGGGGGCCTCTTGGGGCCGCTTGGGGGCCTCTGGGGGGCCTCTTGGAGGCCTCTTGGGAGCCTCCTGGGGGCCTCTTGGGGCCATCTTGGTGCCTCTTGCGACCTCCTCAGAAGCGCAAAGGGCTCTCTAAACCACTCACGCCCAAAGGGCTGGTGGGACTCACAGCGGCCGTCGTTGGGCAGTCTGTTTCAAATGAACAACGACCGCGGCGACGCCGACAACGAACCCTGTTCAGATTGAACAGGAATCGCTGTTGGACTTTGTACCCATTGTTTCTGTACTGGGCCCCATCCTCTTGCGCCAGATCGATCTGTGATGGTATCTGGGCCCGAGTATTATGGGTATACTTGGCCCCCGGGGGCCAAAACATATCCACAATCCACCGCCCGCTGGGCCCCCAGGACGCCAGGGCCCATGCGGTGGTTACGGATGCATCCTCGCCTCGCACTGGCAGAGACGCCCGGTCCAACAAAATTGGCACGCCATCGGGCGGGTGGCAAGGTCAAACGACGCGAAGATCGGAACAAAATCGGATCGGGAGAACTCGAAATCTCTGAGAATCGGTGGGTTTGGAGGATGTATTGGGCGCCGCGGCCGCTCCAGAGCGTTCTGGAACGCTCTGAGAGCGCTCCGGAACGCTCTGGAGCGATTTATCCCGATCCTAGCCCTGTTTTAAATATGGGGGTGAAGGCAAGGGCCCCGAAGGCGGCCTGTCGGGCCCCTTGTGGAGCCAGCTGCGGCCCAAGAGGGGCCCTGTCGGGCCCCCTCTTGGGTGGGCCCCTCCTGGGCGGGCGCGCCGCCTTCACAAGGGGGCCTCCGCGGGAGGCCACCGCTCCGAGCGCGCCGAGGGGGCCCCCGCCGGGGCGCCGCTTAAGGGGCCCCCACGCTTTTTTGCAGGGTTGCCGTCGGACGGTGTTCGGGCGAGGGCTGCGGTCAGTCTCCAAAGCCCGGGGGGCGTGGTTCGCCAGGGGGGAAAAGCCGGTCCTGAGGTCGGGGGCGGAAAAGAGGGGGGTGATGACCAGGGGGGGGTGGACATCATGGCGTGGGCCATGATAGTTCCCTAGATTTCATGGCGCCTCTTCTTATATCATTACGTCCCTGGCCCCCCGACTGGGCCGCGCACATGCCGCCAGTCATGAGTTGCACCCCCCCCTCTTGGACACCCCCCTCTTGGCCGCTCCCGATGAGGGAAACGGGCCCTGAGGTTTTTCACCGTTTTCGCTCCTCGGGGCCCTCCACGGGCCCCGGGACTGTCAGGAAAGGATTCGGGATTGTTTCTGGGGGAAGGCCCCAGGGTCCAGGACCCATTTCCATCAGGACCCATTTCCTCCATGCTAAGTGGTGTTGTTTTGTTGTTTGCCCTCTGGGCCACAGCCATAGCGCGCGTCATGACCCTATCCCCTCCCCCCCATAGCCAACCGACGTAACGCTCCCCCTCCCCCCCAGCGCGTCCCCGGCACTGCTGCAGTGCGTCTGGCATCACAGTCTGTGTGGTGCCATACCCACGCGGCAGGGGAGGGCGGCGGGCGTTGCCTTATGCCCCCCACGCGCCCCCCCCCCCCCCCACCCGCACCCCCATGCGAGCGAAGAAAGGTTCTCGTTCCGTGAGCTGCGCCACTCCGGCCGGCAGAGGCCCAAATCATGATCCGAAAACCAATCCTTCAGAGGAGGGCCGTTTGTGTTGAGTCCGTGGGGTTGCCCGGTCACCGAATGGCTTTGGGGGGGGGCGTCGGTCGTTCTCCCGGGGTCCCAGAACCGTGCGGTGACGGATTGTGCGGTGAGGTCCTTCGGGATCGTGAGGTCACCGCGCGGTCTGTCATCGCACGGTTTGAGGGGGAGCCCAAAGGGAGGACCTCGCATCTGAGGGTCATCAGATTGGTGTCTCCCTTTGGACGGAAGTTTGGCGTCTTTGCTTCTTTGTTGCTTCAGCGGGACCAGCCTCGGCTGAGCATGTACGTAGAATCTGGGTTTGGATCGGCCAGATATTGACATCACGGCGTGCTGCTGGCTGAATCTGGTGGAAGTGACACAGTAAGACAACGGTTCAAGCAGTGGCGAAGCGTCCTGGCTCGCCTATAACCCTACCAAATAATGTTCTAAGAACCTCTTGTGGTTTCCACGAAATGTTCTTAGAACATTTCTGGCGGAGTCTGTCTTCTTTGAGCACGTCGGGTTTGTGTTATAAGAACCTTGCTTTTTGTTCTGAGAGCATTGCTGGTTTCTAAGAACATTTCGCGGTAGGACTATAGGAGTGCCCGGACGGTCGGTCCCTGCTCAAAGGGTGGCGGAAGTAAACGCCGATCCCCCCCAGAAAGTTCATGTTGGCGTGCCCAGGGTCTCCCGAGGCGTTCGAATTGACACGGGCCGACGTCCGGCCGGCTCTCCGTCACCCGCCGCCGTCTCTCCCCGCCGCACTCGCATGCTGCTCTCCACCGCGTCTGGCAGCCCTGTGATGCGAAGAGTTCGCCCCAGAACAGCCGCGGCACCCAGTTGTCTTTTCGCGAGAGGCCCCGAGTGGTTCGTAGCAGGTGCTGCTCCACGAGTGCCTCCCTGCTCCTGGACACCAGAGGGCGTACTGCAGCGGTGAACAAACACAGTTCGTGTGCTCACAGATGTATGAAGACTCCTGCCCGCGTGTTGATCATCGCTTGCCCGCGCGCCCGCGCGTTGCGTGAGGTCTTCATCTCCAGGCCTCCGACGGATGGAGGGACGCCAACTGCACACCTACACACCGATCAGGGGCAACGTTAGGGGGGTATTGGCGCAGGGGGGGGATTCGTCGACCCTCAGTCGCCCCATTGATCGTCAACGGGGGCCTGATTGACCACCCCGCTCAGGAGCGGGACACTCCGCTACCGCGGGGCCGGCACCGATCTGTCGGCGATGTCTCGCCGATTGCAGCTCGATGCTCACTCCCCTGAACTGCCCCCCCCCAAAGCTGCCCCTCGTGCTGCGCACCTGCACCGATCCTGGCCAGGCCCATGGCGGGGCCCGGGAGGGCCCATGTGCCCATGTGCCGATCCGGATGCGCCTGGCGGCCCTGGCCAGGATCGAGTGCTCTGAGCTCTGGCGCGGCGGGAGAGCACCGCGTCGGGGCAGAAGCACAGCCGGAGCCCCCGGCCCCATCCCTCTGCAGCGGCTTCGGCGCCGGAAGCACAGCGCGTCGGCGGCGTGCGGAGGGGGGGTCAGAGGCGGCAGGCCCTCTCGGAAGGCGGCGGGGCTTCTCCGAGGTCCTCACGCCTTCTGAGGAGCCTTCCGCGGCGTCGGAGGAGGAGGAGGAGGGAGGAGGAGGAGGAGGAGGAAGAGGAGGAAATAGGAGGAGGAGGAGGAGGAGGAGGAGGAGGAGGCCAGGTACCTTCTCTTGGCCTCCCGAGGGGGCCCGGCCCCTCTGCCTCTGCCCCACCAAGGGCGCGCTGCCGCCGAGTGAGGGCCCCCGGGAGGGACCACTGGGGCGTCAGGTGCAGGTCCTCCTCCTCCTCCTCCTCCTCCGCCTCCTCCTCCTCCTCCTCCTTCTCCTCCTCCCCCCCTCCTCCTCCTCCTCCTCCTCCTCCTCCTCCTCCTCCTCCTCCTCCTCCTCCTCCTCCTCCTCCTCCTCCTCCTCCTCCCCTCCTCCGCCCCTCCTCCCTCCTCCTCCTCCTCCTCCTTCTCCCCTTCCCCTCCTCCTCCTCCTCCTCCTCCTCCTCCTCCTCCCCGTGTCGGGGCCTGAGCGCATGGGTGCGCAGCTGGGCGGCGCCGAAGCGTGAGGCTGACTGCTCGGACACTGGCGCGCGAGCAGCCCGCGCAGAGGCCGCGCGTGAGGGCCCCTCTTACCAGCATCGTCTGACCGATGCCCATCCCCACGGGGCCACGGTGTCGTGGCCGCACCAGCCCACCCCTGAGGTGGAGCCTGGAGCGAACACTACACATCCCCTGTCAGCGGGGGGCAGGGCGGCCCGTGGGGCCAAGGCCATGCCAGTGGGAATGGGGACTGGTTCAACGATGCTCGCCTTCTCCACGCAGTGTGCCGCGTGAGCGACCTCGCGTCAGCCACCGTGTATACGGTCAGGAACTTCTGCTCAGCGTGTCGCGGCGGCGGCGGCCCCGCGACACGCTATGCCTTGCGAGCGGATAGCGTGTCGCTCCGCTCCGCAGAGCGTGAGGCTCGGAAACACTCCAGACGTCGACGCCTGGCGACTGGGAAGGCGATAATCTGTTGCGCCGCAGAGTGGTGGGCCAGAACTGGCGGAGCGACAAGCTATCCAATAGCTTCCGACCGTAAGGTCACCACATCCTCTCGCGCAGTGCCTCTTGTTCTGTGTCGCCCAGCCGGCAGACGCCAAGGGGGAGTCACCACTTGGGAGGTCGCCACCTCCGCCCGGGAAGAGGAGGGCGAGGACGAGTCGGGATCAGAAGAGGAACAGACGCTGATACCGCGATCCTTCGCTCGTCGCCACCTCCGCCCGGGAAGAGGGAAGAGAGGGACCCCCCAGGATCAGAAGAGGAGCAGATACCGACACCGCTAACCTTCCCTTGCCGCCACGGCTGGACTCTCCTCGAGATCCTGGCAGCAACGCGACCCCTCGAGTGGTCCCGGCGGGGGCGGCATCGGTGCCCCCCCCCCAAGAAGCCTCCCCGAGCCTGCACTCCCCCTCCTCGGGCCCTCAGGGAGGAGGACGTGCCCCCCCGCCCCCCCCCGCGTCGGTGACCCCTCCGCCCCCCCCCCGCTGGGGCACTGCCCGAAGCGGGCGCCGCTCCTGGAGGAGCCCGAGCTGATCGACGTCTTCGCGTCGATCGACACGGACTTCGACGGCCCCCCATTCGCCGCCCTGCCGCGCGCGTCCGCGCGCACCAGCCCGGCGCTCCGCCCCCGACCCGTTGCGCGGCCTCGCCGACCCCAAAAAACGGAGCAACAAGAAGAAGAAGAAGAAGAGCTCGCCGACCCAGCCCATCCTCTCCTCCGAAGAAGTGTCGCTTACCCTCCCAGGCCACAGGGCGCGTTATGGGCCTCGCCGGCCCAGCCCATCCTCTCCTCCGAAAAAGTGTCTTTTACCCTCCTGGCCACAACGCGCATTGTTGACCTCGCCGGCCCAACCAATCCTCCCCTCCGAGAGTGTTTGTTACCCTCCGGGCCACAACGAGCGTTATGCCCCCCCCCTCCCCTCGCCCCTCCCCCCACAACGTAACGCTTCCCCCCCCTCCCAGTGCGTCCCCCCCCGAAGCTGCCGCAGTGTGTCCGGCACCTGTGGTGCGGGACCCACGCGGCGGGGGGGACGGCGTTACGTTTTGCCCCCCCCCCCCCCCCCCCTGCCCGTAGCCTTTCCACCCTCAAAAAGCCTGAAATCGTGGCGAATATTATCTCGGGGGCAGAACCCGTATCAACGACTCGCCGCCGTGGAGAATCCATCAGCGTGATTCTGCTTCAGAACCACCAGGCTCTCGGACAAGGGCAGGCGAAGGAGTACGTGACACACGAGTGACAGGGCAACGCGCTCCGGCTCGCAATCCGCAGCAGCGTGTCACTGCACCCCGACCCTCACCTGCACCTCTCCTCCCCCAGGGGGGCGCAGCGCCGGCCGTGCCTGCCTGCCGGCCTGCACGGCGCGCACCCCGGGCGCCAGCTGGGGGGGGGCGGGGGCTTTCCTGGGGCCGGGAGGCACGGCCGTGCAAGCAGGCGTCTCCGCCAGGGGGCGCTGGCCCGCCGCGCCCGACCGCGTTGGCGCACAGGAGGCCCGTTGTGTTGGGGGCGCTCGCGGTGGGGCGGTCGCGGCCACGAGGGGCCCCTCACCGCATGAGCAGTCCAGGGACCAATCCCTCCCTGTCAATGCTTTTTCCTTGTAAGGGTTTCTCCCTGTCACACTCCGAGGCCAGTGGGAAGGACGGGCTGGGCGTTTCGCTTGAGACTTCCTTAACATTGATGATCCCGGAGCTCAGACAAATTGACAGCAGTTTCACACATGGAGGGCGGGCGGTTTTCAAAATGTGGCTCTCGCCGTAGCGCCGCACACATTCGTCTGAAAAATTGCAAGAACTTCACGGATTGAGGGTGGGCCGTTTTCAAAATGCGGTCCTCGCATTACCGCCACGCACATTCAGGCGGAATGGTTCGGATATGATTCGGTGGGCATGGAGCCGCCCACCGCGTAGGTATTTTAACACCGAGCGTGGTACTCGAGGGCATCTTCTTTACATCGGCTTTTTCTCGAAGATGTATGGGGGAGCGGAGGGGTATAGATGAGGGGGGCGGTCATCCTTGCCACACCCTGGCACTGCAGCATACTCTTGAATGTCTGTTGCTCCCAACTGTCTTGCATAGATTGGTTCTTGCCGACGCGAGCTGTTGCTGTACCAGAGCTTGACTTGTATGGTATGGAGCCCTGCGCTCCGAACAGTGTTTTCTCGGATCGATGCCACCAAGACACGACCGACGGCTCAAGCAAGCCAACGCTTACCCAACCTAGAAAAAGACGGGATACAGAGATGTATATATATATATATATATATATATATACATTTCACAATAAAGAGAAACATAAAGAGAGAACGAAGAGGAGGACGAGGGCATGGGCGAGGAGGAAAACGAGGGCGGGGTACGGATGGGGTGACGGAGGGTGAGGCGAAAGGGGAGGACGAGGAAGACGACGATGAGGCTATGGATGGCGAGGAGCTGGGGAGGGAGGAGAATGGGGAGGGCGAGGAGGGAGTGACGAGAAGGCGGACGGATCTGCGAGCGCACCCGGTAACGCCGTGGTGGAAGGGGTGGGAAGGGCACCCGGAAGCTCTGCGAGGAGGAGGAGGAGAAGGGCACGGTCAAGGAAACGCTATCACGGACTTAGGCCCCACTTCCACACGAAACCAACAGAGAGTTTAGGAAGCGCTAGAACGGACTCTGCTCCACTCCCATGGGAAACTAATTCCGCGCTCCGTCGCTAAATTGGGCAGCGCTGGCTTCACCCGCGCCCCCGTGCCAAATCCACGCATCTCTGATCGACGCTCCGAGAGGGAAAGGTGACACCCTTCCGGAGGGAGCCCGTCAGCGTGTTGCCCTACCGTTTTTGCCCGAGGGGGGGGGGAGAGGGAGGAGGAGGAGGAGGAGGAGGAGGAGGAGAGGAGGAGGAGGAGGTGCGGAGGAGGAGGAGGAGGAGGGAGGGAGAGAGATGAAAAGGAGAGGAGGAGGAGAAGAAGAAGGGAGGAGGAAGAAAAAGAAGAAGAGGAGGAGGAGGAGGAGGAGGAGGAGGGGTAGGAGGAGGGGTAGGAGGAGGAGGAGGAGGAGGAGGAGGAGGAGGAGGAGGACGAGAAGGAGGAGGAGGAGGAGGAGGGGGAGGAGGCGTGCCACTGATGCTCTGCACAATTTCCAGGGGCGCGGAGATGGCCGCGCTGCGCGCCCCGCGGCCTGGGCCAGAGCGGCTGCCCTGCTCCACGTGGGCGGCGCGAACGCTGCGAAGACGAGCAACCCGCGCACCGCGGGGCGCGCTGCGCGCGAGGTTCGGCGGCCCGGCTGCGTTGTCAGTGCTCTTGATCTTGTAGCTTGTGCCCGAGGCCGAGGCGGGGGAGGAGGGAGGGCCCGCGGGGCCTCACCATGCCCCTGCCCGCGGCAGCGGCGGCGGCGGCGCCGCTGGCACGCCAGGCACCGTGCAGTTCTCCGAGTTCCTGCAGCTCATGTCGCTGGTGCAGGCGCGGAAGGCCCCCGGCGGCGTCTGCTCGCTCGCCGGGCCCAGAAGTGGGGGCCGTGGAAGCACGGAGCCCGACCTGATGCGATTCCTGGGGGGGCATTGGAAGTGACGAGAGGTGGGAGGGTGGGAGGGGCGCGGGGCGGCACGCGGGGGGAGTGTGGCGAGTTGGGTGGCGGTCTAAGGAGGCTTGCTGGGCTGCTTGAACGGCAGCGGTCTTTCCTTCCCAAAGGACAGAATGTGGCTTCGAGAGGGCCGTCTGAAAGCCTGGAGGGCTTCCACAGAGCCTCCTGCCTTCTTGGGCCTCCCAGGCTTCTCAGGAGGCTGCTCCCTTCGCGCCACCCGTGTGGGCGCCGCCACATCGCCGCCAGTGGGTCACCTCCGGCGATGAGGTATACGATACCTCCCCGAGCTGCCTCCTCAGGATACGTACAGCCGCCGTGGGCAGCTCAGCGGTTTCGCGATGCTCAGTGATGGGTGTTCGTGGCAGGTGCTTCGCTTCGGATCTGGCCCCCGCTAGCTTGAGAGGAGAACAAGAGCAGTCCGAGGTGCAGCTGGAGGCTCCAGGCAAAGCATGGATTTCCTGAATGCGTTGCAGCATCAGAGGTGCTTGCTGGTTGTGTTTTACTCGCCACGGCCTTCTTCCACCTCCCTTTGTCCTTGTTCCTCTCCTTGTCTCAATTCTCCGCCTCCTCCTCCTCCTCCTCCTTCTCATCCTCATCCTCATCTTCATCCTCATTCTCTCGTCGTTCAGAACAGCGCTTTCGCCCCAGCTCGAGCCACGTTTCTGGATGCGGTTCCTTCGTTGTCATTGCCGCCCCCCCCCTTTCGCTTCCTCCGCCTCCACTGATCCTCATGGTCGTCCCTCTCCTTCGCCTCCTTCCGTCTTCTGCTTCTTCTCCTCTTCCTCCTCCTCCTCCTCCTCTTCATCCTCCTTCTCCTTCTCCAGCAGACGATGGGTACATCTTGCAACTGCCATTTGGCAAGATCGATGTCCTCTACGACACCGCGGCCGTGTGATAGAGCAGGATTCAGCGCAACGGGAGGGGACGGGCGGAATGGGGTAGGCTGCAAGAGGTGGCGCGAGGGACCCCAGCTTGTCGTCTCCCTCCTCTCCTCCTCGCCATCCCCCACCCCCCTCCTTCCAGCTCATCCTCTCTTCCCCCCTGCCCTCCCCATGAAAGACGACCGCTCCAGACTGGGGGGCGGCTCACCTGGAGGGAGCGCGGCGCTGAAGCGCTGGCTGGTGTGAGGTGTGAGGCACCTTGGGGAGCTACTGCCTCGTAGCTGGTGTGCCCGCCGCCACACCTCTAGCAGCTAGCACCAAAAACTTGCCCTCCAGGTGGCCTCTCCCCTTCTCGGATGGAATTGGGTTGATGTGTCACACACCCACGAAGGTCGTGAGCCGCGCACCAGAAGGGAGGAAGGGAGGAAGGGAGGAGGGGAGGAAGGAAGGAAGGGACCTCATAGCGCAGCTGCCCTAACGTGCGGCAGTGGAGCGGGAGGTCTCTCGCCCTTCGCCCTGCTGGCGGCCCCCCCCCCAGGGGATCTTCGGCAGGGAGGAGCCCTTCCGGCTGCTCGAAGGCCCCCGCGCGGCTGCTTGCGGCGCGCGGCGCGCGCGCGCGGAGGGGCGCTCCTGGCCGAGGGGCCCAGGCAGACGGCCTGCGGTGCGGTCGCGTGGGTGGGGGTGGGGGGGGGCAAAGGGAAGCGAGACCGGAGGAGGTCAGGAGGAGGGGGGGGGAGATGGGAGGTGGGATGGTGGCGGGAGGGATGGAGGGTGGGAGGGAAAGGGGGGGTGTCGGGCGGGCGGGATGATGAGCAGGGGGAAGACGAGGAGGAGGGGGCAGGGATGATGATGATGATGATGATGATGATGATGATGATGATGATGATGATGATGATGATGATGATGATGATGATGATGATGATGAATGATGATGATGAGATGATGAATGATGCTGATGATGATGATCGATGATACGATGACGATGATGACGATGATGTGATGATGATGATGATGCTGATGATACTGATGATTCTGATGATAGATAGATGATGGAGATGATGATAAGATGGATGCTGATGCTGATGATGAGGATGATGAGATGAGGATGATGATGATGAAGATGAGGATGATGATGATGATAAGATGATGAGGATTATGAGGATGAGGGATGAAGATGAGGATGATGATGAGATGATAGATGATGAGATGATGATGAATGATGAGGAGGAAGGAGGAATGAATATGATGATAGAGATGATGATGATGATTGTGAATGATCAGATGAGGATGATGATGATGATGATGATGGATGAGGATGATGAGGAAAGGATGGAGGTAGGAGGAGGAAGGAGGAGGAGGAGGAGGGGAGGGAGAGAGGGACGAGGGAGAGAGTGCCTTGATCCCCCCCCTTCCCGCTCTCTCTCTCCTGCTTACCTTTCCTCCTCCGCATGCCGCCCCTCCCCACTCTCATCCTCCTCACCTCCCCCCTCTCCCTCATCATCCTCTCCGTCGTCGCCGTCCTCCTCCTGCTTCTCCTCCTCCCACTGGGCTTCCTCCTCATCTCCTTTCTCCAGCTGCACCCATTCGCATGAAGTTCCCTCTCATCCCCCTCCGCGCCCCATCCGCGCCTCCTTCGCCCCCTTCCTCATCCCCATCCTCCCCCTCCCCGTCCCTTTTCCTCCTCCTCCTCCTCCTCCTCCTCCTCCTCCTCCTCCTCCTCCCTTTCTCTAGACCTCCAGGCCTCGCGAACAAGGCGCTGTCGTACGCTTTTGTTGGCGAGCTCGTGCCTGGGCAAGGGTAGAGCCGTTGGGGGTTGGGGCCACGCCGTGAACAGGACCACGACGTCTGAGGTATGAGCCCTCGTCGCCCTCCCCCGAGATGAGACATCACACGTCCTCTATGACAACAAGTAGCCCTGAAGCAAACTCAGATGACAGGTCACACGTTTCTACGACAGCCAGTAGTCATAGAGGCAAGCAAACGCATCGCACCTTTTCTGTGCCAGTCGGTTGTCGTATGGCAACACTGGAAGAAGCAGCACGCATCACCCTTGTTTCTCGACAGCCAGCAGTCGTAGAACAGACGGTGGTCATGCACGGTTGGTATGGTGCGGTGCTCCACTTCAGTGTTTTCTGATTCCCCACACCTCTGGCGTCCCGAAACGGCGCGGCGGACATGTCCTCGGAGGTCTGGCCGCCCGCTCCGAGCTCCGGGACCCACGGCGCAACACGCAGCAGCCACCGCGCGAGGCCTGGCGCGAAGGCTGGGGCCGACGGGTGCGGGCCGTCTCGTCCCGCGCTCCTCCTCCTCCTCCTCCTCCTCCTCCTCCTCCTCCTCCTCCTCCTCCTCCTCCTCCTCCTCCCTCCCGCCCCCCCTCCTCCTCCTCCTCCTCCTCCTCCTTCTCCTCCTCCTCCTCCTCCTCCTCCTCCTCCTCCTCCTCCTCCTCCTCCTCCTCCTCCACGCGGGCTTCCCCTGCGAAGGGCAAGTGCCTCGCCGCGGGGCGCGCGCGCCGCGCGGGCGCGAGCGGGCGGGGCCCAGAGGGACGGGAGGCGGGTGGGGAGCGGGGCGGGAGGCGAGGGGCCCCCGCCCTCCTCCTCCCTCCTCCTCCTCATCCCCCTCCTCCTCCTCCTCCTTCCTCCTCCTCCACCTCCTCCCCTCCTCCTCCTCCTCCTCCTCCTCCTCCTCCTCCTCCTCCTCCTCCTCCTCCTCCCTCCTCCCTCCTAATAGGAGGCGGAGGCGGCCGCGAGCGAGGGGCGGGGAGGCGAGAGGGAGAGGGCCCGCTCGGCGGCGGGCCTTCTCGGAGGCCCTCGCGCCTGCTGGGAAGCTCCCTGCGTCCCCTGGGGGGAGGCTCCGGAAACCACCCCTCAGCAGGCCAGGGGGCTTCTGAGCCCTCTCAGAGGGCCCGCCCCTGCTCACTTCCTCCCCCGGCTCGCCGCCGAAAGTCACTGGCCAGGCACACGGATGCTGGATCGTCGGCCCAGGTCCCAGCTGGAGCGACCCGCACCCTGTGTAAAATGCCTCTCGGGTGTAGTTTGAAGTTTGGCATGTCCCTCTACAAGAGGAATGTTCAAGAATAGTCTAAACATAGTCTGCTGACGATTCGTTGGTGGTTGAGTCTTGTTGGGTATTTGTTGGCTATGTTTCATTTTTCTTTCAAACATCCGCCTGTAGGAGGACATGCCCGACCTAAGTGTAGTTTGCTGTGCGGCTGTGGCCCCTGCTGTGCGGCTGCGCCCCCTTCTGCGGGCAGGTATGCATCCATTCGAGTCAGCCTCACTCCACCCAGACCTCCAGCGTACACGCTTCAAGGACGATGCTTTTTGTTATTGTTGTTGTTATTCTCGGCCTCCGTGGGGGAGTTTTGGGGGGCCAGGGCCACAGCGCGATCCGGGAAGCAAAGGGTGTCCCCTGGGGTCTCGGGCTCCTGGGCCCGTGCATGGATGGAAGCAACAGGGCTCGACCTGAACAAAGTTTTGGCGAGTTCATGTTCACATGCCGTCTTCGTTTCGATGTCGTCTTGCAGCAAAGGCGGAGCGAAGACAAAACGAGTGAGAACGAACACACGAAATCGACAAATATTGTTTAGGTCCCTGGGATGGAGCAAACCGGGACGTTGGAAGTCCTGCTCTGCCGTCTCAGAGGTTCCGGTTCACGGGATCATTGGTTCCGTCTTGCTCCTCTCTCTCTCCCCCCATTGTCGATCCCCTCGCGCCCCCACTCCTCGGTACGGTCGAAGTGGGTGCGGAAAGAACGAGTACGAAGACCGGCACCAGTTCCTCTTCATTTGAACAGGACTCGCTGTCGGTGTCCCCGCGGATGTTGTCAATGTGAGACAGACGCCGGGCTGCCCAACAGCGGCATCTGTCGGTTTGCGACAACATGCGCTGTTGGGCATCGTGCCCATGTTTTCCATACCCATTATGGGCGTCCAAATCTCCTCGCTCCACCTCTTTTTCATGCTACCCCGCTCGCCAGGAGCCCTCGAAACAAGATGCTCCAGAGTTCTGGGCTTTGCTCTGAAGCCCTCCTGACTGCAGAGAAGCCCTTCGAGCCCTCTAGAAGGAGGACTTCTGAGAGGCCCCCCGCTTTCTCAGAAGGCCGCTCCCTCCTCCCTTCCAACCTCGGCGCGGCGCCAAGTTTATCCAGGCCTCCCCAATGGGGTCCGAGCAGATGGGGTCGGAGGATCGCGCAGAATCGTCGATACATCGTCAATGCGGCTTGATGTTGAGCCCGATGTTCTCCGCGCCGACGTCGCCAATGCATCGCCGCGGCGTTGCCGATGCATCGGCGATGCGGCGCGGTCCTCCTACCCAGACCCCGACGTCATGATTTCTGTTTATAACCCCTCGAGGTCTCGACCCATTCCCCGGGAGGTTTCGAATCTCGGTTTTTCATCCTGATCCGTCGTTTAACGGTCCCGAGGCCTGGTCAGAATTTCGGATGCCGAAACTATGGAAAATCCCCCCGTCGACATTTTTGTCATGACTCGAGGGGGTCTGGGTATTCTGACCCCA